ATGGCTAATATCACTCCTTCAAAAACAATGGAAACAAAATAGTAGGGATGGCATTTGCATCATTCGTACATAATAGCACAGGTACACAGTGTAGTAGAATGTTAACTGACAAAAATAGGATAAATTAAGTTCAACTGTGATTGAATGGTTATATATATATATTAATTCTTGCTAATTTGTGCTATTATGTAGAGATGATGCAAGTGCCATCCCTATTATCTTTTTGCATTGTTTTGGAAGAACTGATATTAGCCATCCCTACATTTACTTCCTTTTTTTTGAAAAGTTTTTCTTTACTTGTTTCCTGTTTCACTCTGTATACTTAAGTTATTTAAAGGAACACCAAATTTCTGTAAGAAAGCTAGCTGGAATTATGATTTTTTAGAATTACTACTAGTTAATAATAATAATTCTTATAAAAGTGGATACGCCATTTGAAACTATGTCACTTCAGTGAAATTACTTGACAATTTTATTTCGGTTTTTGAGTTATCGTGTAATAAAAAGAAGCAGCAGAAAGAAGAACAAGAAATTCAAACTTTTTTCTATGATATTTACAGACATTCCCAGAACTTGTGATTCAGACATTACATAGATATTTTGATAAAAGAAACACTGTGTAGTATTGTAAAGTTCTGATGACTTATTGAGGAGATATTTAAAATACCATTTTGATGAACAATCCAAGCCATCTAAGTTATATCAGGGGACTGGTTGTTTTGCTACATGACGACCTATCCTGCCCTTTATATTTCCTAACAATCAAATTTTGTCAACGCCTCTTAAACAGTATTAGTGTGAGTTATAAATCTGTGCAAAATAATCATTGCAGACGTTTTGGTTGATGCATAAAGAAAGTTCGTTTATACGTTGTACTCTAAAATCACAAAGTTTTATGCATAAAGTTTCAAACTAGCAAGAAACAAGCTCTAGACAAAGATTTGTGAAAATATCTAAAGAAAGGTAAGAAAAGTAATAGATAAACATAATTATTTATGCAGACCCTTTAAACTTCAGTGGAACAAATCAACTTATAAAGCTAAACATAAGATTTAAATAACCATCCTTTTGAGGATAATAATTGTAAAAAGTATGTTATATAAATTAAATATAGAACTGAAACGATTCTACAGTATGTTAAATGTGTACTAAATCATAAAAAAATGCAATCGGCTGTAGAATAATAATGTACCTATCTCATTCAATGTTTATAAAAACGAAACATCGGGTATGATAAATTTCTTTCAGTACAGATAATTGTAAAGTCTGTAAATTAAATTATTGGCTACACTATAATATTTGCCTCGCCAGACCGGCATGGCCAGGTGGTTAGGGCACTCGACTCGCAATCTGAGGGTTGTGGGTTCGAATCCCCGACACACCAAAACATGCTCACCAGTGTCTGAACTAGGATGTCAGTCCTACCCCCGGATACTCACCTCCAACAGAATCTGGAGGTGTGAGAAACACCATATGAAACTACTACTATAATATTTGCCTCACTCAAATAATGGATAAAATTAAGATAATATGTGTGAGAAAGATTGACATGCATATCACACTATGCTATAATAGTTGTCTTGTGAAAATAATGGTTTTTACTTGTAACTTTTTAAGCCATTTAATTAAGTCACATGTTGAGACACCCTACGATGAGATCATCATTTTATTGATCTATCCATCTACCCTGGCATCACTATCCTCAGTAAAAACACCTTTATAAAACACACAAAATACGCCCTGTAACAGCATCTACCTGTTGTATCACTGTCTGCCTATAGAACCTTGGTAACATTGTCCATCTATAGAAACACTATCAGCCTTTGTAAAATCTATTCAAATGCAAGTAAAAACTATAAAGTAAGTGTCAACATGTGTAAAATGAAATATTTTGTCAAGAACTCATTTATTGTTATACACAATAAAGATCATAGTTATATAGGTAGGAGAACAGCTTAAGAATATATGTAATCCAAACTAGCGAAACAGTAAGATTGTATGATATTTAGAAATGTTATCACCAAAAATATGTCCTTTTCAGGACAGATGATTGTAAAATGTATGCGATGCAGAAAAGGTGAAAACACAATTGATTAACTGATAATCCAATATTGGCCTTAGTATCATCATCCGCCTATAGAAACACTATCCTTAGTAAGACCATCCGCCTATAGAAACACTATACTTATTAACACAGTCCACTTATATACATACCATCTGCCTTTAAAACCATCGTATTTAAATATATAAGCAAAAACTATAACGTTGATAACATTAAAATAGCAGAAACTGTAATTGTGATAATTGTAAAAACTATGCTATATAAGTCATATACAACATTAATTTCAAGACCTTGATTGTTACTATATAGTTAATGACACGTTGAGCTATATCTAGCATTTCACTGCTTCGCTACGTTTCATCTACACGCTCATCATACTAACACACCCTCTGGGGCCATTTTGTGGAACTATGACGTCATCGACCCTGGTGCCACTTCGTGGACACCATTGCCTTCTGGTATCTATTATGTATATATATATATCAGGTTTTCAGGATCCTTTGTAGATTACCTATCAATTATGTAATCCATTGGGCGCAGAACAGCCCCATAAACTACTTTAGAATATTATAAATGAATAGAAGTTTCGAGTTTTCAACCATCCGTATAATCGCCACTATTCGTCAAAAACTCTACTATTTCTTGTATGGTTGCGTTTCAAAGAAATCGCTTTATCACTTATCGTTTTATAGCAGGACAAAAGAAGCCCGAAATTCTTATATTTCTCCTTCTTCGCACCAGTGAAAGACTAACACATTTCCCTGTAATAGATTTCTTACAAATCTGGAACATAGTTAACATATACATTCCCCTAGCAGGACAGGAAATATAGTTATAGTAACTCAAGTATTCTCGGAGATACGAACAAAAATATACAAACATTTTGATAAAAGCATGTAAGTGCTTGAGCTCTTCTGGAAAAACATTGGCTAATCAAATCCTGGTGAGATTTCTATAGCACATTAGGGTATTCTTAGTAGTAAACCGTTTGTAATTTTATGAAAATCAGACATGAAATCTGGAAGTTATGAACCCCAAACCACCACCCTGTAAAAGTTTTCATACGATTTTTGCATACCACTTTGCATCACACTTAAAACTAATAAAAAAGCTGCTTGGTACCAGTTCACATTACACAATGTATTCACATCTTTCATGATAAAACATTATTTAACCTAGATAACAGTATTATAATTTCAAACATTCTGTAAAATCTATTTTAAAAAAGAATCTCACTAGAACCTTATTCTTATTTCTATTAATTATATTATTATTACTACAATTATTTCTTTCAGTTTTGCATGCCTATATGTAAAGTAAGAATCCCTATTTCAATCTGATTTAGAAAGATGTGTTAAGGTGTTTACTGTGGCATTTCAGTTTAGTATATTTACCATCATGGTTACTGTAGGAGGATATGCAGCAGCGGTCAGATGTGAGCAGTAATATTACAGAAAAAGAGAGAGGGAAAAATAATGTGCAGGAAGGAAGACTATTGATGAGGAGAGGGAATTATCAGCTGAATATCAACATCTACCCAGCAAAAAGGCATGTGAGGTAGAAGCCACAGAATTAGGAGGGTGGGAGAGAGATGACCTTCGAAACACCCCACATCAGCCAAACCCAAGGTTCGTTATAGACCAAAAGTTGGCAAACATGACTCTCCATTTTCAGAAGAAATGGTCAAAGTTCATCTTGACTCGACTACTGTCCTTGTTTTAAAGGAGCATTATGTTTTTCTCGCACAAAAACTTTCAGAGATAAAAAGTCACCAAATGCAGATCCTACTTTTGTATTCTCAAGACTTAGCAATTAGAGAAACGGCCCAGAGAAGTTTGAAAAGCATACTGATTGACAATAGTTAGTACTGTTGGCGAATGTGGTTAAGCCTTTTGATATGAGAATTTTTACTAAGGATGTCGAGTAACTTTTAAGGCACGTGATTAAGCCTTCTTTTTCTGTTATTTGAACTATCTTAGTAGGGATATTGTCCAGGTGTGGAATAATGGTTAGTGTACCTGATCAAATAGTACATGAATATCAATGAAGGACTAGAGTGATGGCAGCCAATCATCACCACCTATCGATAACTCTTGGGGTACGCTTTAACAAATGAATAGTAGGATTAACTGTCATATTATAATGCCCCATGGCTGAAAGGGCGTGAATGTTTGATGGAACGGGGATTCGAATCCATAGATTGCGAATCGAGTCCACGAACCACCTGCTCATCAAAGAGTCAGACAATAACCCTTGTGACAGTGGTTGCTGGTAACCTCCTTCTGGTATTTAGTTCAACACTTAGCACAGTTATACATACGGCTTAGGGTTTCTGACTAGGCCTTTTAGTTCATGTGTTCAGTAAGGTGCTGCTGTGGCTGAGAATTCCAAATCCAAAGTTTCCAAGATCCTTAAATATTTCACCATTACCTATAAAGCTGAGACACTTTACTCAATCTTCAATTATTCGTTTAGTTTGTTGCAATTTTCCAAATATTGTATTGTATTCCATTCAAAATTTTTATGTTAAATGAATTTTAAAATTTCAGTATTTAAACCATCATAAATTCATTTGTTTATTAAACGAGAGAGGAGACTGGAGCAAGCCTGTGATTGTAGTGAACCCAAACCCCTTACATGAGAGTTACACAAAAAATTGGATGCATTTAGCATGTCATCAGCAGCATTTTGTGTTTTATGTAAAAACTTCTTTCCAAACTTGAGTTTAAGAACTTCTGGTTATCTTTTCTCTGTTTTGTAAAGAAGACAGAAAACCAACATTCCCTAAACATAGTATATCTGAAAAATAAATAGTGGAAGAGATACGACGCAGTTGTAGTTATTGCAGAGAAATGCTTACCAGTTTCATTGCTATTATAATAATGTGAATGACTCAATACAAAAATAAATCAAAACTCACTTTGTGTGAAAATTAACCATGGTATCAGTTTATTAACCGCAGATTAGCTGAAAATAATCTAAAATAATTATACTAAGAAATAGTATAATAATTAAGCATTCTAAAGACTTTTAACAAGATATGATCACAAACTACTCCTATCAAACTCTGAATTATGGAAAACTTCAAACTGACCTATTTTCAGAGTGTCGTTCAGTTAAGTAAGTAATATAACATTGTTTTACATTATTTAATAAAAGGACAAATTATAGTGATGAAATAAAAGCATTAAAAATTATCCAAAAATGAAGCAATAAACGTTTTCACATACTACTAAAGAATTTATAGTTTGGTAGGTCAACGAGATGACCATACTGCAAACTCTATAATGACATCTTAATTTGAACGATAGATGTTGTCTGAAGAATTGACTCCCAGAATGGTGTATCCATTTGCATCACACTGCTTCAGTCTTCCGTTAATCTTCAACCATTCGCCAGAACAAGGCTTAGGGCAACGGTAAATCTCGTCATTAATATTTACCCCGAAAACTTCGTCAATGCCGGACCCGGTAACGTGCTTTAGGCTTCCCGGAATCCTTTCCCAGGTACCGCTTCCGTCTACTGGGCGACGATAGATTGCGTTGGCGCTGTTGACCCCATAGACCAGACCACGACCACCATCCACCTGTTTCAAACGTCCACTCACTTGGCTCCACTCTCCATTACAAGGCTTAGGACATTTGTAGATTTCGTCATTCGAGTTAACACCCCAGATGTAGCCGTAACCTGAAGCACTGACATGTTTCAGCTTACCACTGACATGAACCCAAGTTCCGCTCCCATCTACCGGTCGCTTGAAGATATCATCGTTTTGATTCACTCCCCAAACCTCATGGTCATCACCGTCGACCTGTTTCAACGATCCCGATACTTGGTCCCAGTTACCTTCGTAGCAAGGTTGTTTACACTTGTAGATTTGATGGTTACTGTTGACTCCCCAAAGGAACCTGGGTGTGGCTGTAATGTGCATAAGCTTGCCTGAGATTTGATGCCATTCTACAGCCAGAGACACAGCTAACAAACTCAGCAGAACGATGATAATTCTTTGTGTCATTCTGGTGTTAGTCAGTTCAACTGTGTTGTCTCGAAAGAATCTGGTCTCTTTATATTACCCGTCACGACCTTTACTCAATACCCACGTGACATTTGATGTTGCTCAATGTTGTTTGGAAAGAGAAACTGACCTATTTATATCACCCAGCACGTATACATGTGGCGTTTAAAGTATATAAATATTACTTATCAGTATCATTTGTCTGTAAAACGACATGGTATGGAAAACTTGACTTCTAATCTATACATTTCAACACAGTGGAGGTCACCGCCAGATGTCTCCCTAATGATCACAAATACACTCAAAACTAAAAAAAATAAATCATTGGCAGCCATTTTTATTTTTATTCAGGTGAAATGTTCTAGTGAATATATATATTTCATCTTTATTTAAAGCGATATACGGTGGTATGTTTGAGGTGTTTCAACGCTAGAAACCGGGTTTCGTTACCTGAGCACAGATAACCCATTGTGTATCCTTTTGCTTAACTTCAAACAAACAAACAAACAAACAATTTACTCCACTATGTGTTTCTTACGGTTTATTTTAACTTTACTGTAAGTCTAACAAAATTACTCATGATGTTTATATTTGTTTTAGTAAAATATATAAATTGTCTAGATTTTTAAAGTAAATATAAAAGTTAAATCATTTAACTAGTTTGTAAAAGAAAAAAGTTTGTCGAAACAGTAAAACCATTGAAACTGTATATTTAAAATTAAACATTTCGTGTTTTTAACTTCATTCCTAGTCGTATAACTGGAATCATTGTTTTATTGTTAATTAAAGTAAGATACATTTTTCTTCGCAGTTTTTTAGAAAGATGAAGTCCACTTTTACCGAATAATGTGAAGGTGTAAAATCTGTTACTTAAAAACGTTCATCCTATTTTATTTATTTCCGGACCTGACGTGGATCGTATTGCTGATTTTACGATATAAATTGACTCGCATTCTGCAGGTTCGAATCCCAGTCCCACCAAACATGCTCGCCCTTTCAGCCGTGGGGACGTTATAATGTGACGGTCAATCCCACTATTCGTTGGTAAAAGGGTAGCCCAAGAGTTGGCGGTGGGTGGTGATGAATAGCTGCCTTCCCTCTAGTCTTACACTGCTAAATTAGGGACGGCTAGCGCAGATAGCCCCCGTGTAGCTTTTCGCGAAATTCAAAAAACAAAACAAACAAGATAGAAATTATTAAACAAAACACAAAAAAAAATGATTTTGTTCATGCACGTTTAGTCGCAGCTGTAATGTAAAACTCAAGGTTGAAACAAACACACGCACGTTGAGTCGCTATTTCGAGCGCTGAAAACTAAAGCGAAACGTTTCAAAATGTTAACCCGTTTTTGAAGAATCTCAGTAGTCAACATAATCGTATAAAATTTAGAGTAAAACATTAACGTTCAAGTGCATGAGCTGGTTTATAATTTCATTTTGAGAGTTTTATTTGTGTTTTAGTACATTAGTCCATTAGTTCATCCTACTTATGAATAGACCAGCATCTAATAAATGTTTAAGTACTGACTATGAAAAAAAAAATTAAATATTTTAAAATAAAACCAACTTTTGAAATAACTTGTTAATAACATTCTAAGGGATTTTTTTATTTAATATAAAAAATGGCAAACATTTAAAATGGAACCATTTAAAGTTTTATATTAAGCGCAAAAAACTATCTGTGCTTAGCCCATCGCGGGTATCGAAACCCAGTTTCTAGCGGTATAAGTTCGGAGACATACCAATGTTCCATTGGGTGGGGCAAATTTGTAAGCAGCATCTTTCAATAATACTGCAACATACACTGGAAAACACGATAAAATTGTCACCAATCAATTGCTTAAGCTTTTGGAAAGAGTTTACTGAAATATTGATTTGAAATATATATATATATTAAACTCGGAGGTATCTTACATTTATTTTAAGGTTTAAATATAAAATATCATGTAATTAAGTTTATCATTTTCAAATACTCATCATGCATTGCTAGGTATAGTTAGTTAAACAATAGGTGGTTCTTAAGATGCGTTGTTAGGTATAGTTGATAAACCACTAGATGGTCCCTAACATGCATTGTTAGGTATAGTTAATAAACCATTAGGTGGTCCTTAACATGCATTGTTGGTATAGTTAATGAACCACTAGGTGGTCCCTAACATGCATTGCTAGGTATAGTTAATGAACCACTAGTTGGTCCTTAACATGCATTGCTAGGTATAGTTAATGAACCACTAGTTGGTCCCTAACATGCATTGTTGGTATAGTTAATGAACCACTAGGTGGTCCCTAACATGCATTGCTAGGTAAAGTTAATTCACCACTAGGTGGTCCTTAATATGCATTGATAGGTATAGTTAATTAACCACTAGGTGGTCCTTAACATGCATTGCAAGGTATAGTTGATGAACCAATAGGTGGTCCCTAACATGCATTGATAGGTATAGTTAATTAACCACTAGGTGGTCCTTAACATGCATTGCTAGGTATAGTTGATGAACCACTAGATGGTCCCTAACATGCATTGTTGGTATAGTTGATGAACCACTAGATGGTCCTTAACATGCATTGTTAGGTATAGTTAATTAACCAGTAGGTGGTCCTTAACATGCATTGTTAGGTATAGTTAATTAACCATTAGGTGGTCCTTAACATGCATTGCTAGGTATAGTTGATGAACCACTAGGTCGTCCCTAACATGCATTGCTAGGTATAGTTGATGAACCACTAGATGGTCCTTAACATGCATTGCTAGGTATAATTGATGAACCAATAGGTGGTCCCTAACATGCATTGCTAGGTATAGTTAATTAACCACTAGGTCGTCCCTAACATGCATTGCTAGGTATAGTTAATTGACCACTAGGTCGTCCCTAACATGCATTGCTAGGTATAGTTAATTAACAACTAGGTGGCCCTTAACATGCATAAAAGAGCATACTAATATAATGGCTGAAAACAAATCGAATACATGTAATGATGAACGTGATGTAGAAATAAATCTTTCAACATTTTAGCAGAAAGTAGGATAAGAGAAAATTCATTTTCATCAACAAATACACTTGTCTCAAACAAGTTCATCAGTTCATGCCGTTACGATAATACGATTTTAAATAACTAAAAGAACAAGACAGTGTTCTTGCCAAAGGTTACATGGAACATAATATTAATCTTGTAAATAGTCGATTGAGAAATGTATTTATTTCAGATGAAAGTAATATTACCACTTTATAGAATAACTTTGCACGAAATAGCCACACTTGTTTATAACCAGATATGCCCCCCAGTGGCACAGCGGTATGTCTGCGGACTTACAACGCTAGAATCCCCGTGGTGGGTAGAGCACAGATAGCCCATTGTGTAGCGTTGTGCTTATTTACAAACAAACAAACAATTATAACCAGATATAAGTTTTCTTTTTACTCTAAATTTCTTTCACTCAGTAGAATGTTTACAGTTTTATTCACTGAATAAAGTGTTACAGTTTTATCCACTCAATGAAGATTGAGGTTGCATTCGCGTTTACTTTATTGATGTAGTAATAAATGTTTGAGGTAGTTCATATGAACAATTTTTATTTTACATTCCATACACATGGCCAGGCACTCGACTCGCAATCTGAGGGTCGCGGGTTCGAATCCCTGTCACACCAAACATGCTCGCCCTTTCAGCAGTGGGGGCGTTATAATGTGACGGTCAATCCCACTATTCGTTGGTAAAAGAGTAGCCCAAGAGTTGGTGATGACTAGCTGCTTTCTCTCTAGTCTTACACTGCTAAATTAGGGACGGCTAGCGTAGATAGCCCTCGTGTAGCTTTGCGCGAAATTCAAAAACAAACAAACAAATCCATACACTCACAACGTATGTATGTTTAATATATAAATTAGGCTTACCTTCACTGACATATAAAGTATTTAGTCGTTTATATCTGTGTTATCATGATATACCTATGATAAATATCGAGAGACAGTTGTGGGCTGGGTGTAATTTTTCAACGTGTGTCTTAAAGACATTTACAAACTAATTGATTGATTGCTGTGTACCGTTAACACAGAGAGCAAAAATAGTGATAACTGTTGTTAAATATTAGCAAAGTTTCCTTTGTTAAAAATATAATGAAAAAAATAGAAGTTACAATAGAGACATTTACTCAGGATACTATAGTTACATCAGTACATCCTTTCAAGCGAACTGAGACTAAAGACATTTACTGACGGGTACAAATTAGAGCCTAAAGTGATCATTTCTCTCTGTGACTATATACATAGTGGGGCAACAGTAAATACACAATAAAGAGACGTTTCCCTCCTATCGTTACAGTATAAAGTTTTAAACAAAAGTTAAAGAGTGCATGGATTGACTGGTATTGCAATATGTGTTAAGTAAAAAAAAACTAATTTCGAAAACAACGTCAAGAACAGTTGTTTTTGTTTTATAGTAAAGACACACTGGGCCATCTACTGTTTTCACCGAGGGGAATCGAACACCAGATTTTAGCGATGCAAATCTGTAGATTCACCGCTGTCCTACTGGAGTACCAGGAAAACCGGCGAATATGGCTGGTTCATTCCCTGTCATACGAGATTGATAAAACATCATTTTTACACGGGATTGTTAAAACATTATTTTACATATTCTCTGACCGCCTCCAGAATGTTCGAATCCTTCTATTAATTTGCCTGCAGTTAGTACTACTGTTAAATGGAACCTCCAAATATGCATACATAATGTTCCCGGCAGAGGTATCACGAATCAAGTTGACGTCAGACTTGAATCCTCCATGAACAACATTGCTACTGCTACCACAGTCACTGTATAAAATATTTACTGTTCTCACCAAAAGTCCTGTTCGTCGAAAGTCATAACTTGTCTGCAGGAATAGAAATACTTAAAGATCTGCTTAACCTTGTTTATCGCCTAGCGTAAGGTTATGAAGTCATTCTTCTCAGCCAAGCCTAGTTCTATCTAAATTTAGCTTGAAGGTTAGACTTCATAGTCTGTCAACTTGGTTTTACCAATCATAAGCTAAACATAGGAAAATTCG